GCGGTGCAAATAGGTTTGTCTTTCTTATCTCCGTTGGAAAAATGTCGTTCGTCGCCGTTGCGTCGTGGAATTCAACTACGTACGAAACTTCCTCCGCTCTCGAGGTCGGCATAAACGTATTTATCGAGAGTTCTCTCCGTTGTTATTTGTCCCTGCACCGCAAGTAGACGGTTAAATGTTTCTTAATGGAAGCCTACGGGTTGAGGCGGAATCGGATAATCGGTGGTAATTAATTGCCTCTGCTCAGAAGCTACGAAGAGAAGGCTCTCTGAGAGGACTTCTCTATCAGTGGATTAATTTCGCTATCGAGTCGTGTCGTCGAACTCTCGCACGCGCTATACCACACCGATGTCGACAGTGGGTGAACACTGTCGCCGTATTCCATCGAGGAGGGACTGTCGTAAGGTTTGCTAAATCGGATTACGCGATATGTACGTGTACGTAGCAGCACGAAGTTCCTTTTTTTCTTTTTTACAAGCCAGAGACACATTCTTTGGTGATATAACAGAGCACAGGTTGTGGGTAGACCAAATAGGCAAGAATGCACCGGGCAATTATCAAATCTACTAATGAATTTTTGCCGACAGATATTTCAGTTGTAATACAGATTTTACAAAGCTTGCTCGCCTGCACGGATCACGCTGCTCTTTTCCTACCTGCCCAGATATCAAAAAACACCCATCTACCTACCTGTCTACCTACTTTTACCTACCTGTCTGTCTGCCTGTCCGTCTATCTCCCAGTTTTGCTTTGACTGCCTGATACCCGATGCCTGGTTTGCCCGCGCGAGTAGGCGAAATATATGTCGCGATACCTAAATACATGTGTGTATCTGTGAACGTGCAAGTGAACGAGTTAATTAGAATTAGAATCGCGCGGAAAATGGCGGAAAAACGGTTAGAGAAAGTCTGGAGGTGACGATATATTGAATATATATATCACGACAGCGATGTGTTAATCTTTCATCGTGGAAGATCGATATTTGTTTTAACCGATCGCTTCTACTCTATTTTCTGATTACAGACGAACGAGACGCGATCCAAAAGAAAACATTTACAAAATGGGTGAACAAGCATCTGAAGAAGGTAAGAGGTTCTTTCCTATAAAAAAAAAAATCGCACAGAAATTCTGTTCGAACGAAAGAAGAAAAAAAAGAAAATCGTCAGGACACGGTGAACGATGGGCGTTTTCACCCAAGTACGATCGATCCTTTCTCGTTCTAACTTTCTACGTAATGAAACGATCTAATCTCGTTGCAAAGTGAAACGATTAAAACAGTCGGGCGAATTAGACGATTAGGGGTGGTGTTCTTCGAACCGAAGCTTGGCCCTTCCTTCGAAATATCGAACGAACCTAATTTTAGAGCGACCTTAGCAGGAGGCCACGGCTGGCGTGGCTCGGAGTGTATATCGAAACACCTGATAGGTGAGCATACGAGAGCAGCGACGCGCAACGACGGGACAACCAGCTGTTTCGTAACCACATACGTAAACGATATAGGAGACCTTCTCAACCCTACTGTCGCTAGTATCTGCGTGTACGCGTACTCACGTGTAGGCTGAAACACGCGCGTGGGCTTTTCAGCATAATCCCTTCCAGGAGGGTATTTCACGCGTTGCTATAGATGGTAACGTATCAGAGGAAACGTGTCGAGTGGGTGAATTGGAGAAAATTCTTCGCGATAGGCGAGACACGGAGGATCCAGGTGTGAAGAGACCTCGCGTTTCTCTTTGTAATCCATTCGGTAAAGGGTTAGACAACCTTCCCACTTTTATTGCTATATGAGTCAGCTGCATGTTGGGACTTTTACGCCTCGCCTTTATGCTCTTCGGTATGTAAATTCAGTTTTCAGAGATGGTAATGCAGTGTTTTTTCTGTTAGATTGATTATTAGATTGACGTATGATTTATTTTCCTGAGTGTGCGTCTAACAGTTGGTTATTTACTGTTTCAGTACTGTATTAAGTAAGAAAAGCTGATGTATTCTGGGTTAATGAAATTCGACAGTTTTACAAATTAAAACGAATTAAAATTCATTTTTGTTACCGGTGGAACTGTTTTTATCAGAGCTGGACCAAAATCTGTGGCAAGAGGCTGACTCGTTGTTATAGGGCAAGGGGTTAACGAGATTTGAACGATTTGGAGAAAATTGTTTAGACAGGTTAGACAAGGGAGATCCTCAAACCTCTCTTTGTAACTCTTTCGATAAAGGGTTGAACAGTGTTCTCTTTGCTATTACTCTACGTCTTAATCAGTGAATTATATGTCAGAGCGTGATTGATAAAGAAATACAATTTTCTTTTAGATTGATTAAAGGGACTCTAACGATCTGAAGAAAATTGTTCAGATAAGTTAGACAAGGGAGATCCTCAAACTCCACTTCCTAACCCTTTGGATAAAGGGTTGAACAGTGTTCTCTCTGTTACCACTCTACGTCTTAATCAGTGAATTATACAAGTCAGAGCTTGATTGCTCGTCTATGTTCTCTGATATGTAAATTCGATTTTCAGAGAAGGGGAATGCGGTGTTTTTTTCCTTCCTCCCCCGGGCTAGATTGATTAATGAGATTCAAATGATCGGAGCAAGGAGGCTACCACCGTTCGAACAAACACCGCCACTGTTCTGCGTTGTACGCATTCTCGAGTGAACACGTGACGGGAAAAAGGATGCCTTGGTCTGTGTCTCGATGCTGGCAGAGGCAAGAGAGAGAGAGCCAGCCTCTCGTCTATTCCAACGAGAGAGGCTCGGTGTTCTCGATGGATGCCAATGCCGATTCTGACGCTGACGAAACCATCGAGGGTTGCAGACGTGCTAATGGCCCCTGTGTACAACCCGATCACGTTCACCGCCAGGCCAGTTGTGTAAAACAGCGTCGTCCCGACGCCGACGCCCGACGACCGACGACATGGCACGCGACCGCGAACAATCCTCGCAACTCGAGACACGTTAGCCTTGATCTCACGTGACTCTCGTTCTCTTCCTTTGTTTTTTCTTCGGGCTCTCGCCTATCGACCACGATGACGCAGGTCCTCTCTTCTGTTTTCCAAACGAGAGAGAGAGAGAGAGAGAGAGAAGGAAAGAAAGAAACGGATTCTTAAATGAAGAACGATGATTGTTCTCTCTCTCTTTCTTCGTCGTGGAGAAAGATGAAGAAGGAGAGATAATCAGAAGAGAGTAAAAGAGGGATAGAAGGTATAAGAAGAGGCAGTCCAATGATAAATCGAGCAGCGATACATTCCTCGCGTTGCTTTCTTGTTACGTTGGCCGCGTATGCAAAGTCAGGAGTCAAGGAGAAAGGAGAAGAGAGGCAAGGTTGAAGCTCCTCCTTGGTTCGTAAGCGGCTCGGGGTATAACTCGATTGGCATTTCGAGGGTTATCGAGCCTTTATTTTCTTCCTATGTTAGTTAGCTCCTCGACCCCGTATATCTCGACACTATTACTCATCCCTTTCTCTAACTATACCCCTTAAACCTAAACCCCTAAAAACCTTCCTACATATCTCTCGCTTCTTTCTACGAGGACTTTTAGAACGATCGATGCTGGTCACTCCCCTTCTTCCAGAAAAGGGTGCAGAAGTTTCTTACACCGTTGGTGTGGTAGATAATCAGGTCGCACTAGAGTCCGTCGATACTGGGTACATACCAGTTTAACACGTTCGTTATTAATCTTAAAAATTACAGCCCACGTGCTAGTCTGTCTGTTTAAAAAATTCGTTGAGAAACAAATTCATACTAAACTTTCAAATATTTATCTGCATAATTCTGTCGATTCCAAAGTTCCTCTCTACGGTGTACACTTTAGTTACAGCTTGTGTAGAATGCACAGGATGGGTGTTTAACCCTCTACTGTCGGGAGACACCGTTTTTGGGTCGTAAAGCCCGATTCGGAGTCTACGAAACTCCTCAACTTAGTTTATACATAAATATAGAACATCTCTGACAACTTTTCCTACTAATTTACCTTTATTACACATTTTCCTAATGAACGTTGTAGGATAGAGTGATTGGTTTGATTTGAATATAATAACAAGTTCTAAATAGAACGGAAGAAAAGAAAAAAGGTAGAATCGAGACTCCGTCTCGACAGTAGAGGGTTGATACTACAAGCGTGTGCCGAGTGAAATTTCAAGTACATAAGAGAATCGTACAGGCTGTGACGAATTTTCCACCGATCTCGTCTCTCCCTGGTAATGGATTCCAGGGTGTAATACAGCGAACGGTACTGCGTGTTTGCGCGTCGCTCGGTACTGGTTTCAGTTGGCTACCTACCTGCTCGATTCCGTGCGCCCACCTTTCCTCTCGTAACTCTGACCTTATTCGGAAACGTTCTCCTGTAGACGACGTTCCCGATTTACCACCTCTTGCCTGGTAAGTAGGTGGATAAGTAGGCAGTTAGGTACGCAGGTAGGCAAGAGTCAGTCACTCAGTCAGTCAGTCAGTCGAGCTTGTTGGAGATGTTGCATTAGAGAAGGGAAAAAAATGTAAAGAGAAACACCAACAGTTGTCTGGTGGTTCGTTGAAGAGAGAAGAAGTGAACGTTGCACTACTGGCGGTAAGGCCTATGACGCATCCGTTCGCCATTGCGTAACGTTCCAGCGCCAGGAAATGGTCCGCTGAAGTAACTTCTCTGCGCCCATGAATTCCGATCCGTTGAATAAAGACATCCTGTGATCCACCTTTGTTTCCTATACTTGGTCATTCTTGAGGAGAGCTGATAAAATCATGGGCTGTTTGACGTAGACGTGGTTTACCCGTATTTGGCTAACGCCAGTTAGTAGACGTAAGGCAGCCGTAATTCACACATGAGTAACAGTTTCACTTTCCGGGAATGATTTTATTCGACGATTGTGAGAGTAACGATGACTGTTTAAGGAAGCGGAAAACTGCACACGTGTGTAGAGTAGTGTGTTTATTTTTAGAAGATACGACAAATTTCCTGATTTAAAGGAGATTTACCGGCTGATACGAAAAATGTGCTCATACTTATTTTGGAGAATTTGACGTGTAGCTTGCGAATAGTGTCTCTTTGAATGCAAAATGCGTTCTGTCGATTTGCCAGAAGAGTGACAGTGCTGAGAAATGCAAATTTTTCAGGAAATCGCTTTGCAATTTTTTCTGGTAAATGATCGATCGATCATTCTTGTTAAACAGTGTAATTTCAATTTTAGCTCTTTCACATAAAAATAGTTTATCTCTAGATTTTTAATTTTCTTAATTTACTCAATTTCTCGAAAAACTTGCTTTCACACCTCTTCTAAGACGCCCTGTACACGTCTCTGTCGAAATCCACCGAAGAATCGTGTAACAAGGAATCAACTCTTACTCCCGGTATCCCTGCTCGAAATGACTTGGCAGGTCAAAGTGTTAATTCGTCACTGTTCGAAGAATTACGAGGAGGCACTCAGTTTAAGATAGCCGAGGCTTTTCTTTCGAGTGGCGCCATGCGCTTTTTCGACCCTCATTCATGTGCCTCCGACGCTTTTTGCTCACGATCGATGGTACAAACGCCCGTCGTTCCTCTGTACGTTTTTCTTCCTTCTGTTCGACTCGAATCCGCGACGATCGGTCGTTGTACCCGGGCGTTGGCGCAAAAACCTAAACCGGTGTGATTCTGCTTCTACTCGCGCGTTTTTAACACACATTCCCGTGGTTCTCTTGCACAAATCAGTTTAGCAACGTCAGAATGCATCTTGGATGCGCTTACGCCCCGGTGACAACACGTCGATTTGTAATCGTACGCGATTACATAAGCGCTCACGTTCGAACGAGAATTCATAAATGATATTACAAATGTACTTTCGATCCTTTCACGCACTCGCCGCACAGCATTGGAAATACGTGAAGGTACGAAATCGAACGAGTAGAATTCCTTCCAGATCTCTGATGACCGCCTAAACGAGACTTGGACGAGTGGTTCTCTTCTACGTTCGAATGCATGTCGATAGTGTTAGGTTACGAAAAGAATCTAGAAGTGAGAAGTGTCTAGACACCTGTGTTCCCTTAGTTCAATATTTGCCGAATAGTTATACGTTCGTTAGATGTTAGGTTTACAATTTGTTAGTTAAGCGCCGTACAGTTGAAACGAACGCTCGAAGATTGCACAGCTTTCACCGTATTGCGTAATTGTTGTTGTGCATTAAGCGCCAGGCGCTAAGTAGACGATTTCGAATTTACCGTTAGAGAAAATTGGGAAATAATCGTTGTTACCGAGCTTGCCGTGGAATTGTTCCAAATTTTCTGTGAAAAATACCGGTGATAAATAAGAGACGTTGAGAGAAGATTGTATTCAATTTTCTACGGAAGGATATCGGAGGATAATTGATGGCGCCTGGCGCCAACGGAAGACTCCGAATTTATCGCGGGAATTATTGGAAAATGAGCTCTGGCGCCGAGGAGTATCTCCAAATCTACCGAGCAAAGTTTCGTAAGTTTTCTGCGGTATAAGACGCCAAAGAAACATCTCCAAGTTGAATAGACAAATTTTTGGTAAATAAGATTCGGGCGCCAACAATCTCACGTCTGTCTCGCTGAAGATTCGAGAATATCGACTGGCGCCAACAGAGTAATTTCGAGTCTACTTACCGAACACATTTCTCCGGAAATTAATTGTGAAAAATATGAAAAACGAAAGAATCGTTGGTAAAAACAGTCGCAGCTCGGAATTCATCGTGAGAATTGTCACGGAACGATAAACGGCGTGAAAGGAAGAATTGCAACTTGGTCGTTGAAACTATCGGAAAATAAACGAGCTCTGCTATGCATCGAGCGTTCTCTTCAACTCTCCGCAATTCACCGAACACAAAGCGCTTCGCATTCTAGATTTCATCCTTTGAAGCGTTGACATGCAATTAAAGATTAACCGGCGTTTAAACCTCGCAAATTATTCTCGAAAGGAGAGAAGTTATCCTCGACGCTTTTGTCATCTATCGCATGTTATAGAAATTTTCCGGTCAAGGACCACTCGTCCGTGCAACCGACCAGTAGCCGAAGGTTTATGCCTGTTAATTAACGATAACGAATTAACGCGATCTTCCATTACGTAGGCAAGTTTTCTCGTAATAGCATACACTGCGGTGCATAACTATAGCACCGCTTAAATTGTTAGTTGTTTCGGACTTCAGATTCAAAATGCAAAAAAATTAATTGTAGAAATCGGAAGGGTATGAGAAACAGTGAACTTTAGACTAAATCTCATTTAAATTGCCCTTTCAATTTCTACAATTAATTTGTTTGCATTTTTAATCTAAAGTACGAAACAACTAAAAGTTTAGGCGGTGCTATAGTTATGCACCGCAGTGTAGCTAGAGAAACATAAATTCTAGAAAGTAATTGACGAAATATAATAAAATATAGAAATGAATTGTGCATAAAAATTTTGTTGCACCGTCGTAGTTAGAGAAAAATGTAGTAGATCGTAGAAATGAATGAATAAAATGCGATAAAATATAGAAATAAATTAAGTATAAAAATTTAGAGTTAGAGAAAAATGTAGATATCAAAAATGCAAGGAAAAATGAGATAAAAACTAGGGAGAGATTCTTCGATAGAATTTCGTGCTAACGAACGTGTCAATTGAATTTCAAAGGGTTAAAATAAACCTGAGGCTACTTTTCGGTGATTATCCAAAAGGCACGCGGAATTAAACAATAATTCGCAGCCTGTTCCTTTCTCAATGGATGTTTTTTTCAGACTTACACGTGCCTGCACGTGTGCGTCCTTGTGAACAACCAGCCATGCTGTTCCCCCACTGTAAGTCCACGGCAGTTGTCGTTCTCGCGACCGTTGCCAATGTTAGAAGGAATTTTCGCATGCTCCAAAGAGAGAAAAAGAGAGAAAAAAAAGATAAATACGACGTCTCTCGTTGTGTCCATTGAATGATCGTTGGTCTACAAGTAAATCGTCCTTTTCCTCGTAATTTCATCCTCCCCTTTACCCCCTCACTTCTCCTTCAATTCTATCCACCGTTGATACAATAATAAACGCGTGCGTTGCGAAATTCCGTCACGAGAATCGTACGTACAGCGGTGCAATTATCGAAAATTGGCCGAATCCTCCTGAAACACGGTTCACTTAGAGGATTCGTGCTTATCGCGAAGCCGGGGCATTTAAACTTCATCCGTGAGTTGTTTGAGGGCCGCCGGATCGTTGTTGCGTTTGCACGTGACGCACCTCGGCCTGTAGTATTAACTTTGTTACGTTTATTTTCGCCAGGCACGCGATTATCTTCTATGAAACAGCTTTTATTCCCTTCTCTACACTTCTACACTTTGTTCTATTCCATTTTCTCTCTGTAAACGTGTACGTATGTGTGTGTGTGTGTGTGTGTACTTTTGCACGTTTGTGTTTGGTAGAATTATTTATTTTTTCCTTTGGTTCGCCTGTTCGATGTTTCCTTTTACCTTATATATATATATAAAAAGAAAAACATTTCATTGAATGATCCTTTTCCCATTTTCTTTCTTTCTTTTTTGCTTTTGTTTTGAAAGTTTCTCCATTCGGATTCAATTTGCTTGTTGTTTTATTTTCAGTTATGAATCGGTGTATTATCAAACGGGAGACACTTGAACGAGGAAGTAGTTGATTAGCGCACTGACGCGTGAAATCGTTGTTTCAGGCCAGCAGACATATCGGAGATCTATTCGAAGACCTGCGGGACGGGCACAACCTCATTTCCTTGCTGGAGGTCCTCTCAGGAGAGCATCTCGTAAGTATTTCACGTTCTCGTCCTGCTTCCGTTTCTTCTTCCTTTTTTATGCAATAGCCCAGCCGTGTGTACGATTGCGAGCTATCCTCCTCCCCCCTGTTTGACCCTCGGTTGGCAGGGTGAAATGCTTCTTGCGTAACTGGTTACATAGGGTGGGACAGACTTGACCTCAATTATCAGAGTGCTCGGATCGTATACGTTTCTATCTACTTCGATATGTCCTCTCGTGCTTTCCTGGAACTTCACGTTGCATGCAGTTTTATTACACTTAAAGGATCACCTATATTTCATCCTATGTACCTTCTGTCGGTATTTCGAACCCTTTCGCTGCTGCAGATTTTTGTTGATTATTGAACGAGATCGCGAAATCTTTCGTTTTCAAATTAAAGTGAAAATGCAGGAAGGATGAAATTTGAAGGATTAAGTCATCATGGAAATATCGCAAAATCTTTCGTTTTAAAATTTGTTTTGTTAAATTAAGGTGAAAATGAGCGAAGGATAAAATTAAGAATTGAGTTATCGAAATGCGCCATAAAGGCGCGAACAGTAAAAATTTTTTAAATATCTATAGGCGCCAATAGCAATGAAAGGGTTAATATATTTTTTTTAACGTTAACCATGAAAAAGTAGTTTATACATCGTCTGCATCCAACCAATCGAGGGTTCACATTCGCCACAACGATCCTACATATTTAATTACCAATCAACGAATGATTTTCTAGCCGCGGGAAAGAGGTCGGATGCGTTTCCACATGCTGCAGAATGTGCAAATGGCCCTAGACTTCCTTCGCTTCAGAAAAATCAAACTTGTCAATATCCGTGCCGAAGATATCGTCGATGGAAATCCTAAGCTGACCCTAGGTTTGATATGGACCATCATACTACACTTCCAGGTGAGTAACAATCTAACGTTACTCCTTCAAACTATCACCAATTATATTACTCTCTCACTGTTCACATACCTGTACAATGCTAGAACGATACTTTAGATAATTAGAATATCGATATTGTACTCGATTTAGAAAACTGGTTCGCCCTTTCGAAACGCGAAATTATCAAACATAGACTAAAACCTCTATCTCCCCCTTAGTATTACTCCATCGTATGTACACGCACACTTCATTCAGCCAATTAGAATTAACATCGACACGCTGGTTCGCCCTTTTTTCCATTTAAAAAACACAGAAAAAAAGAGAAAAAAAAAACTAATCGAAGAAAGAATATCTCGTTACACGTTCCATCGTGGTTTCGTTTTCTTTCCCCAAACGACGAAACAATCGCTCGAAAAAGAGAGGCTCCCCGAGAGATATCGATCGAAAGTTTCGCTTCCGAGAAACTCGGGTCCGCGATGGGGAAAACGGTCAGTGCGGTGTGCCAGGGAGAATC